TATAATTTAGGACATTTTTTACATTTCCTAAAACGTATTTAAATTTTCATTCCAAACACTTTAATTTGTTTACATTAGTAAAAATTAGATAAAATTTACTAAAATTTAGTATAAACTATTATATACACTTGTATACCAAAATTTGGAATAATTCATAGTTAAAGAGTGGACTTTAGTATTTCCCCTATAAATAAATTCTAATATCTAGGACATTTTTTACATTTCCTAAAATTACTTAAAATTTTCATTCGGGACATTAATTTTTTTACATTAGCAAAAACTAGATAAAATTTACTAAAATCTAATAAAAACTATTAATTACACTTGGATACGAAAATTTAAATAAAATTAGGTGTGATAACATTCAAGAGGCACTTTTCTATTTCGCCTGCTTTATATATCTTTCTTGTTAATTTTATGCTGTTTATTTTTTTCCAAATAAGATTTTTTATATAATTTAAATCCGTTTGATTGTCATTTAAATTAAAAGCGTATAAGATAAAATTTCTGAGAATTCTCAGACTGTAAAATTAGTATTTAAGTGTATTTAGTTATTAGAAATATGTATATAGCGGATAAGATAGAAAAATTGTACAGAATAGAAATTATTGCATAGAATATAATGTATTGTAGTATGTGGCTAAATGATCAAAAGTTAGCAAGGCCATTAAATAAAATTAAAAAAAAAAAGAATTTGTATAGGAAATTAATTTAATGACTGTATTTTTTTATTTCAGGTCCAAATAATAAGTCATCCCACTTCCATTGCCAAATCTGCGATTTCATATGTTCCGATACAAACAAAGTAGTTGCTCATAGACGTCAACATAACAAGATGAATCAAATAAAAAGTGCAGGTTTCGAAAAATTCACACCAGGAATGGATTGCACACGAGGTGCAGGTGGAAATGAAAATTCTGATGGATCACCCAATGAAGGTTCGACCAGGGCCGAATCGGGCAGTTGCGTTCATAATATGAAACAAACACATTACCATTGTCTGGTGTGCAATTATGCAGTTTTGGGCCTGGCGCAAATGTCTGCACATAAATTTAGACACATGGAATAAACATGTAGTATAGATGAAAATTATTTTTTATAGTACTATTTAATATGAAATATTTATTTTTATACCCCTTGTACATATATTTAAGTCAATGAATTCTAAAAAGTATTCTAAATTAAAGATTTTTTTAATGGTGTTTTTGAAACAATTAAAAATATATACTGAAAGTATTTATGAAATGCCTTGGTAATGAAATATTGATATCTATATACTTAATAAATTTGTAACTTTTTTATATTCAAAGATATCAATTATAGTGATAAACACAAATAACGTGTATAGGCAAAAGTGCTTTTTTTAAAAATATATAATAAAAAAGTATTTTTATATACGAATATTATTTATAATAAAGTGGGAAAATATTATTAAGCATTAAATGACACAGTAATATTTATATTGTAATATTTTTGATAGTCATTCCCAAAAAAAATCTTGAACATCATAATATAATATAGTTTAAAAATTTATCTGCCAAATAATATATAAGATATAATTTAGTTTAGGAATATTTAATATATTGCATGTATATAAGAATTGAGCTATGCATTAAATATACAATTACCATAAGACTTATATTTTGCTAGAAGACTCACTTAAAAATATAATATATTATTATGAAATTGATAAATGTACAATTGTGATTAATTTTACTAGACATCAAATTAATTTGTATAAGTTTATTCAGAATATATAGTAAATGCGAAATGCACAATATATTATTAGTTTTAAATGAATATAAATAGTAATTGTTGCACTTGAGAAGATAATTAGCCATATGAATAAAATATTATATGTATCCATCATGTGCCATTTTGTACATATTGTATTTGAATGAATTTATAAAACTAAAGTTTATATATGCATAATACATTGTTATTTATGAATAGACGGAATTCTTATTTCAAGTTCTCATCATATTGCAAAAAAAACGATTTCAGAGCAAATTTGAAATGAAAAAATTAAAATAAGTATTCAAAATTTTTTAGAAAAGATTACTGATATTTGAAATGTGATACGAGACGTGTGAAAATGTGGGTATCATATTAAAATTTATCAGGATCATAGGATAATATTGAAGAAAATTGGAATGTTTATTCAATATTTTGAAAACAAATTAACACACTATAAAACGGTGCCAAATAGTTCTGGGACATTTTAAATTTAATTAAAGTGACAAGCAAATGGGTTTAAATTATAAAAATTATTTTGACAGAATTAAACAAGAATGTTATATAAGAATATATACGAAATATATAAGTGCCTCTTTAACACTATCACAAATCATTTTAATCAAAATTTTCATATCCAAGTGTGAATAATAGTTATCACTAGAATTTATGAAATTTTATCTACTAATTAAACCAATTATGATGTCCAAAAGGAAATTAAAAGTTATTTGAAAAAAAAAGCAAAAAATGTACTGAAGTCCTTGCAATATATAGAAATACCAAAGTCCGCGCTTCAAGTAAGAATTATTCGAAATTTTAATATACAAATGTATATAACAGTTTTTACTAGATTTTAGCCAATTTTATCTAGTTTTTACTAATGTAAACAAATTATAATGTCCGAGAAGAAAATTAAAAGTTATTTGAAAAAAAAAAAAGTAAAAAATGTACTAAATCCCTTGCTATATATAGAAATACCGAAGTCCGCATTTCAACTACGAATTTTTCGGAATTTTAATATCCAAATGTATAAAACAGTTTTTACTAGATTTTAGTAAATTTTATCTAGTTTTTACTGATGTATATAAAACAAAAAGTCCTGGGCAAAATTTCCAAGGTATTCAAAAAGATGTAAAAAAATGTCCCAAATTCACATCTTGCATACAAAATGTCCAAGCAAGTTTTATTAAAAATTTTATTATGTAAGTATAAACTATAATTTTTACTAGAATTTAGTAATTTTTATCTAGTTTTTACTAATGTACAAAAATTTAAATATTTAGAATGAAACTTTTAAGACATTTTAAGAAATGTCTTAAATATTAAAATAAACCTCAAAACACTAAATAAATAGAATCTGAACAAAAACCACCAGCAAATTTAAAGTTAGTAATATTCAAAATGGTAAAAACACCCGGTTGATATATTTATTCGTCCCACTTGTATTCTGATATATATTTTTATAACTCCAAAAAAATTTTAAAAATAAATTTTAATACAAGTAGTCACTAATTTTATTTTATTATTTGGGCTCACATACTTTTGTACTTTCATTTAACTTAAAACACACTTGCAATGTATATCAAATGTAAAACCAATTCCTTAAAATACGTTTATTTATGCACAATTTTACTTTAAACTAATATATTTCTTTACTTCTTTGAACCTCCAAAACCTGAAAAACCCATAATCGAAGCAAGTTCTTCTTGGCCTTCACCGACTTCTTCTTCAGCTTCTTCAAGTTTTCTTTTCCGTTCTCTTCGTTTTAGCCTCCTGTACTCCTTCTGTCTTTCTTCTTCTTCTTGGGCTTCACGTATCCGAACTTCTAATTCCACGTCTTTCTGCTTCTCTTCCATTTTTTTCTTGTTTGTCTGAAACCTCGCTTTCACCTGATAAAGGACACTGTTTTCTTAATAATTGAACCCGGGTAAAGAAATAATAATGATAAAGGAATGATGCTGATTTTCTTAATAATTGATCCTGAATTGAACTTGTAGTGTTGTAAAAAATCGTACATCAAAAGGTGATGATTTTTAAAATGTAGAACACCAGCTTAACTTAAAATTTAATAAAAAAAGCTTCGAAGGACTGAATATTCAATGTAAATCCTAATGACAGTCTTGTAACATGGAGATAAAATCAAAAAAGATCTTCTAGGCGTAAATTCCATATCACCACAGTGTATTTAATATTTTGATTATTATAATATAAATTAAAGAAAACTTTTTATTTAATTTAAATTACTCATTAACTCCTGGTAATTAAGATTTACAAATAAATATATCATTCTTTGATTAAATGACAAATAAAGTACATAATATGCATCAGAAGAGTAATATATGACTTCAATAGTGAATAATATATAACAAGACGCAAATAATTAAATATAAACACACCTAAAGTTTGATTGCTTAAAGAATAACATTTAAATTATCTAGATAATATGCAATAATTCAAAGCAAATGAGGTGTCTGAGATAATTTTAATAATGCAAACAAAAAAAATAACATATGTCTATTATTACCTGATCCAATGTACTCCGTTCAACCCTCATCGACATCCCCAGATTCCTCTGATGTTTCTTGCCATTTATGTGATCAAGAAAGTTAATCGAATCCTTAACAACACAATCACAGACATTACAATAATAGCCCCCCGACTGAGAGTTGGGTGTACTTTTATTAATGACAACACTTTTGCCCAAGCGGCTCTCTAAATCAACTTTGTAATCTCTCTGTTTCAGGTATTCCCTTTGGGCTGGGGTTTTGGAAGAGGTATCATCATCACTTTCACTGTCATCACGGAGACGTTCTGCAGCAATTCTTTCATATTCATCTTTGTCCCATTTGCGACGATGGTCATCAGGTCTCATCGACATGGTAAAGGATAGATAATAAATATCTTTTGTTGTGACAATATAACCTATAAAGTGTAACAGCACTTTTAGTACCTAACTTAAGTGAACACCAACAATTTTTGCATGCACTAATCAAATACTAACTACTATATGACTTAAACTTAATTAAACTATTAATGAACTACATCAAACCTTGTTTATTATTACACGGCAGCCATATTGACAACTGTCAAATTAAATTATTTATTTTTAACAAGATGGCCGACCTTGAATTCACTTTCACGAACTTCACTCTTATCATAACTCTGCAGAGTTTGACAGCTGAAGTGCACAATTTTTTATTGATTGACTTTTAATTAAATTTAATTATGTAAAAACAAGAGTTTTCTTGAAATATATCTCATAAAAATCAACAATGGTTGTGATAAAAGTGACAAATGTTGAAAGAACCAAAAAAGTCGGGGTAGTTGCCCGAAATTTGGAAGAATTCCACCACAAAGTTATGACGAAGTACAAGGTAAGGGGTAAAGAATAGTTATTTATTTATTTTTCTAGTTTAAAGTTTAATTTTGCAAAAATTAACGTGTTTTATTGAATATATAGCACATGGTTTTATAAAATATACATGAAAGTACTTGAGGCTTGATACTAAAATACAATATATCAAAAATTTATTTAGAGGTTCGGCTAATGTTATTTTTAATGTTTTATTAGTTTATCTTTGATTTTGTATTAAAAGTACAAAAATCTATATTAAAGCCTAAGCAATTGATTTATATGAAGCACCATATATCAAATCATTTTGAAATTATTGAATAATGGTTTTAATATCCGAATACTATAAGTTTTATTTTCAAATTGTCTTAGATGAAAACATATAACTCAGATATCTTCAATTTTGACATCAAAGAAGATTTGAACATTCAAGATATTTTTAATTTGACACTAAATATGAAAGTATTTTCAAATTTAAAGTATTGATAATGTTTTCTACACTTAGATGCTCATTTCGAATGAATTTGTCTTTAAATTGTGTTTGCATCTGAAATTGCAGTTCAATTTCAATAAAATCTATATCACTGAATGATTTATTATATGAATCATTAAATAATTGTTTTAATAATTTGGTTAATTTTAATATTTCATTTAGAGCATTCAAATTTTCTTCGATATCAACATATAGCCCACATAATTCTAATTTGATACTAAATAAAGGAGTAAAGTTACATTTTCTACAAGTATCAATAATCTTTTCTACATATAAAATCTTTCAATACTCATTTGACTGAATTTGCTCTTGAATTGTGTTTGCATCTGAAATTGCAATTCAATTTTTATAAAATTCTTATGACTGAATAATTTATTATATGAAGCACACAATTGTGTATGACCCAATTCAACAACAATATTTGTTTTAATATCCAGATGATATAAATGATTTACTTAGAGCATTCAAACTTTCTTCGATATCAACATATAATCCAGATAATTTTAATTTGATACTAAATAAGAGAGTAAAGTAACATATTTTTGTATTACAAGTATCAATAATCTTCTCTACGTATAAATAAACTTTCAACACTCATTTCGGTTAAATTTGCTCTTGAATTGTGCTTACATCTGAAACTGCAATTCAATTTTAATAAAATTTGTATTACTGAATAATTTGTTATGTGAAACACTATCAATTCAACAACAATATTGGTTTTAATATCCAGATAATTTAAATGTTTTACTTAAACATTCAAATTTTGTCGATATCAATATATAGCCTCCATAATTTCAATTTGATACTAAAAAAGCGAGTAAAATTTCATATTTTTGAATTTTAAGTATGAATATTCTTTTCTATGCAGATATAAACTTTCAATACTCATTTCGACTGAATTTGCTCTTGAATTATGTTTTTTATCTCAAATTGCAATTGAATTTTGGTAATTTATATCACTGAATAATTTCTTATGTGAAGCACTATGAATTCACGTTAAAATTATTGAAAAATGGTTTTAATGCCCAAATCATTTAAATGTTTCACTTATACATTCAAATTTTCTTTGATGTTAACGGTATCTCCCTGATATCTCTATTTTGATATTAAATAAGCGAGTAAAGTTACTTATTCTTGTATTGATTAATATTTTTTTCTATATATATAAATAATCTTTCAACACTCATTTCGACTGAATTTGCTCTTGGATTGTGTTTATCTCAAATTGCAATCTAACTGTAATAAAACTTATATCACAGTTAAAGCGTATGAATAATTTATTATGTGAAGTGCTATTAATTCACTAATTTTCGAACTGATTGAATAATGGTTTTAATATCATAATAGTTCAAATATTTTACTTAATATTCAAATTTTCTTTGAAGTCTACATATCTTTAAGTGAGTAAAGTTACATATATTCGTATACAAGTATCAACTACATTTTCTACGACTACTCATTTCAATTTAATTTACCCTAAAATTGTTTTCACGTACAACTTCAAATCTTATCTTTGAAATATGAACGAAAACACTGTAAGATTTAAAAATTATTTTTAGTAGAAAATTCTGTCTACTAAAGTCATGTATTTTATTTATAGTTGACCGATAAACAACTGATGAAAGACGTAACATATCATTTAACTTCTGATGGTGTCTTGATCGATTGTGATGAATATTTTCAAACCCTCGAACCACAGACATCTGTGATGATGGTACTCAAAGAACAAAAGGATTATATTAAAACAGGCATGGAAAGATATTGCCACATTGTAGAAAGAATAGATTTATATTATTAATTTAAAATTTACACTCTTAATATATAAAGTTTTCTTACTTTGATTTTTTAAATCTTTAATTAGATTTTGAGTTTCTTATGGAAAACATCAGGGTGTGGCAAAAAGATTATCTGAACGCTGGAAAAAGTGTTGAGTTATTCATAAAGCAAAATAATGATAAAATCTTTTCTGAAATTTTTGCTGCTCTTAAAAGCTCTAAACTTGTACCTCATCATGAACGAATTGGGATATCTGATAAATATCTGAAACATGATTGTATTGAAGATAAACTTTGGTTTGAAGGTATTATTATTTATAATACTAGATGATTTAGAATATTTTGAAGACTTGTTGGTGTTTTACTCGTAGGTTTGGAAACAAATGCCAAAACTAAAGAATTGTACATGTTTAAAAAAGCACAAGACCGTATTCGCTCATATTTCTACAAAACCAAAGACGATCTCTATCACTCTATTGAATATAGAGAAAATAAACTTGCAAAATCTGAAATCGACTTCTTGATCAATAACTTCAAAAAATGGTTGATACATTACGGATTTTTCGGACACATTTTCGATAGAACTAAATACACACAAATAAATAAATTGGACGAAACCAATGCTGATGATAACATACTAAAAGCAAAAAAACTGAAACTAATGAAAGACGATAACAACTTGACGGTTTTGGAAAAAAGTCTTTCGATCTTCCCTTTGAAAAAAACTGCAGTTTGCGATTCTCTCGGAAAATTTTCATGCCAAGGTGCTTGGAACAAAGTTTGCTGCGTTTATGGAGATCATGTTATCAACCCTTATATATCGAGAGAGTACAGGATTTTGTTTCAGGTAGAAAAATATAATTATTTAAATAAATAAATAATTATATTTTTCTCATCACATTTAATTTACCAACAGACTTGGAACTTGGATCATCAGGTGGAAAAGTCGCGTACGGTCATTCCAAATATATTAAAAAATGTTAAATATTTGATTGATGACCAGGCTACATGTCTTGTGCACCCTGATAGACCAGCAGTTCACCTAACTCAGGTAAAAAGCATGAAAAATTAAAAATTTTTAGTCTAAAAAATACCTGTATGTGAATGTGGAAGTATGTGTTATATAAATGAAAGAGGCAGCTGTGTGACAAAAAATTAAGGGAAATCATGAGAGGGAGAGAGGGATCTAGTAAAATATCAATTGTATTTATTTTTACCTGAATTTAAAAAAAAAAACTAAAATTTTATGAATTTGTCGTAAATTTGAAAATTTTGTTCGAAAAATTTTACTTAACTAAAAATATATTTAAAGTTTCGTTCGGAAAGTTGGGTAATTTTAAATATCACGACGTATCACCAAGGAGGAGGAGGACCAAAAATCCCTAAAAAATTGATCACGTGATTAATGGACGCCCCCTAAAAAAAAATATATGAATCATTTACTCACTGCAATGCATTCCACATGTAATATAAAAGTTTCTGGGGCATAATGATTCTGAATCTGAAAATGATTTTATTTGAATTGAATTGGCACATATTGGATATTCAAGGATTTTATATATTATTGCCGCGTTTTTTATAATATAATTAATTTTTTGAATTACGAAGCGACATCCGAACACTCATTTTTGACTTAGGCTGTGGCATGTCTAGCGAATAAAGTAGGATTTTCAAAGTTTTGTGGAAAAATTTACATCTTTGATTTTATAGTCATAGATTTGTATTAAGGTCACCAGTTTGGCTGGGACAGTCCCGGATTTCCATCTTGTGTCCCGGATTTTTTTAAAAGCAATATTTGTCCCGGGTTTAGATCTTTTGTTCCGGATTCTCCCGGGTTTTCGAAATGTATAGGTCTAAATTGAATCTTAATTCTTACTTCATAATAAAATTACAACTACCTATCAAATAATCTGAAAATGTTCTGTACAAATAGCCTCCCATATTTATAATTTTGAACTTTTATCTTCAATTTTACGAAAATTCACAAAAAACATGAAAATTGAATTTTTCGACTGTCTGGAGTAAGTGCTGATTATTTTTAAATAATTCTGAAGAAAATTTTATAATAAGTTTGGAAGCAAAAAAATATAAGATAAAGCATAACATAATCGAATAACAAAGTTCTTACTCAAAAAAATTACTCATTTAAAAAAGACGGATTTTTATTGCATTCTCAAATAGTATTTGTTATTTTAATATTTTTACAATTTTTCGTTCACGTTTTCGGGCGCACGGATCAAACGATTTGATTGGTTAAAAAAACATTCGATTCTTATTAATAGAGAGTAGTGCTGATTAGTTTTTTGGCAAAAGTCGGTCCAGCCGTTTTGGAGTTACAGAGCAGAGAGTGCAGAAAATAGAAATCGAGTTTTTGAGAGAACGGAGCTTCCGATTTTAATGATTTAACAAACATTCAATTTGTAATGATGGGGAGAAGTGGCGATTAGTTTTTGGCAAAGGCAGGTTCAGCAGTTTTGGAGATACGGAGCTAAATGTGCAAAAAATTGCAGTTTTTGGGAGAAATACACATCCGATTTGAATAATTCAAAAAACTTTCTGCTTGTATTGACGAAACGATTTTTTTTTGGGATTTTTTTTTGATAATTCAGATATTCAAAATTTTAATTCGGTACGGGAAATTCCAGCAATTTGACATACATCACTAATGATTACTAAAATGACTAATACAAACCCCTATGGTTTTGTGGCAGAAGGGTGAACCGTAAGTGCCTTTTAAAAAGCATCAATGTCGGCCAATTTTTACTACTTGGGGGTATAAAAAATAGATATTGACCGATTCTCAGTCATCCCGAACGTGGTTACAAAATTTCATAAATGTTTCAGAGGAATATTATCAATTTATTTCAGGTAATATATTTTTTGGAGCTATTCACTATGGCAAATTTGAAACTAGTTCATATAGTTTGCCATGATAAAAAAGCACATGAATTGCAATCTTCTGGAGGTTGTTTGTGCACAGAATGCCATGATCAAGAACAAAAAAAGATGTCGTTTTAAATACGGTAAGAAAACGATGAAAATAATTTTAGTTTATCAAGATTTCATGAATCTCAGATTGCTAAATGTTTTTCTTGAAGAAAACAGTTATCAAATCAGCTTACGCTTTATATGTACCTAATTTAAAAAAATGAATAGTGTGTACATATAAATATATATTTATATTTTCTGACTATATTTTTATAAGACAGAATATATTTTTAATATCACTTTAGCTAACAATTAATTTACAAACTTAAATTTGTGATATTTTTTGAGCTTTGCTCATGTTAATTTGAATAGTTGAAACTTAATCTAAATTTTAAATATATAAAACTATTATATATATATATATATATATACAAAAATATAATAAATAAATGTTAATAATATTTCTGTAAACAGTCTTGACCGGCTGAGAATCTCAAATAAGTTGTGATAATTATATTACAAGTAGAATTAGATAAATTAGCCAAAAGTTGATGTCGTCCAACATATTTACTCGAATTTAAAAACATTATTTATGAAACCAACAAAATCAATGAGCTTAAAATATTAAACAAAACCTGTTAACTAGTATAATTTCAAATAATATTTAGCTTTTTAGCATCAATACGTAAAAATATTGCCATAGGTAAATATTTCTATGTTGATCTCTACTTTGTTGAGGTAGTAATTACTGACAAATTAACAGTATTAGAAAAAATTAGATGATTTTCTGTAGTCATCCAACTGGTGTACAAATAAATACTTCAATAATATAACTCAATATATTTTTCTATTCTTGTGCATCAAATGCAAATAATTTTAGACTGATGTAGCATATATTGTTGATGGGAATAGCAAATTCACCTGTTGTCTGTTGCACTGTACCTATAATTATATAATAATTGTATATGCCCTGTATTTATTTTCCAAGGCTGATTTCGTTCTTATCGAACATCTAATTCGTTCTAAATTATTATTATGAGCAGTTTTATTCATAAGCAGAATTATTTATAAAGGGTATCCCAGAACTCAACGTCAAGTGGAAATTATAGTATTGATAGTAATCATTATGAAAAATATTAGACAAAAACTTTATTACGGAAATTATGAGCTTTTGAGCGCAACTTAGAGCTTTGGTCAAATTGTTACCGTTTTTCGGTTATCGTATTTCATTTTCATTATTTTTGTCAATTTAAACTTTGCAACCGCAAACGTAAATATTTCTAGCACCTCAGTAAAAAAATAATGACACACATTTTCCCAATTTTTCTAGAATTAACATTTTTTGGTAAAGTATAGACTGAAAGTTTAAAAATTTCTTGACTTTGTAAGGCTCTCTTTTAAAAAAAATGCATTGAAGTATGTTGGTAAGTTCCATGAAAAGTTCACGCATTTAATCAGGATTATATTAAAGTAAAATACTTTATATTTTATAATAAAAAATTTGAGTAAAAAATTAGAAACCTAAAAATAACACAAAAGTAGCTAGTGCATTTTGCTCACAGTAAGTGCAAATGCTTGATGTGTTATTTTTAGGTTTTTATTTTTTGTACACGATTTTTTTATTATAAATTATCAAGTGCTTTACCAATTTACAATCCTGACTAAATATTCGATTTTTTTTTATTAAACGTGCTAACATACTTTGGATCATTTTTTTTTAAAAGAGTCCCAAAGTCGATCAATTTAGAAAAATTTAAATTCATAGGTCTAAATTCTAAAAAACTTGGGACGTTATTTTTTACTAAGGTACATTATTTTTTACATTTATGGTTACAGTTCCAGAGTTTAAAAAGGAAAATTAATAACAAATAACTAAAAAAACAAAAAAATTATCACCTTTTGACCAAAGCTCTAGACTGGACTTAAAAGCTCATCATTTTCAAACTACATATATATTTCCAATTTTTTTCATAAAGTTGCTATCAATACTATCATGACGTTGAGTTCTGGGGCACCCTCTATAAAAACAATAATATATTTCAAAATTGTAGGCCATTTGTAGTAGACTGATGTAATAAAAATGTAGTAGTAAAATATATAAAAGCAATAAATATATGTGCTATATAATTATGACAAATATTAGCCAATATATTATATAAATGCAAATTGTTGCATATTGTAGTAGTTAAATTCAGGTATTGGAACTGAATGTAAAATTATATAGATTGAGATACAAATTGATTTTAAATTTTGTGGAACAGCTTGTTTTTTTAAACAAAAATCCCAAATAATTTTCTTTTCTATTCAGCACAAAAATACAACATTTTCAAAATTATATTAATAATTTTATTTCCATATATCTGTACAAAATTCTGTTATCATCTTCCAAATTATCTCAGCCTCATTATATTTGGCGTATTGGATTTTAGTAGCCACGATGTATCAGAAATCGGTATGCCATCGGTTCCAAATTCCTTGAATTATAATAATAATAAATATTATTAGTATAGACATGATGGTTGTAAATTGATGTACAGTATAATCAATAAATATAATAAATAAAGGGTTGTTTTTACCAAACATTGTCCGCTCACACAGTATGCCCTTATAGGTCTTCCTCTACTGCAATCGGTGCCAAATGGAAACCATCCTGATGGTCCATTTACTAGGTAAAACCTTAAAAAAATGACAAATATATTATTATATTATATATTTGGCGAAAAACAGAAACAAACTGTGTATTTTGTTTGGATCTTGTATGAATTTTCCAAAGCTGATTTCGTTTTTATTGAACATCTAATTTTGTGCTATTAAGCAGTATTATTTATACAGGGTGTCCCAGAACTCAATGTCAAGTAGAAACGAGATTATAGTATTGATTGTAACTATTGTGAAAAATATTAGACAAAAAATTTATTCCAGTTAGTTTGAAAATTCTGAGCTTTTGAATACAACCTCAAACTTTGGTTAAATTATTACCATTTTTTGGTTATTGTGGTTAATTTTTATTATTTTTTGATTCAGAATTTTAGGAGTTTTATTCAATTTTTTTTAATTATTATTAAAATTATTATTAAATTATTTTTTAATTATTATTATGAAGTTTCAGTAGGGTAGGTACAGTAAAGGGCCGAAAATCGAAAATGAAAATTTTTGCATTTCTCGGCGTTTTGAAGGTTTCTGAACATTTTGGCATACCTCAGAAAAAATGGATGTGTGTGTGTGTTTTTTGTGTGTCCGCATTTTTTCGTTCACGTTTTCAGGCGCACGGATCAACCGATTTGAATGGTTTAAAAAACATTCGATTCCTATTGATAGGGAGATGTGCTGATTAGTTTTTGACAAAGGCAGGTCCAGCCGTTACGGAGATATGGAGCAAAAAGTGCACAAAACAAAACATATTCAACAAAATAATTGCTTTTGAAAAAAAAAATTGTTTCTAATTTTTTTTTTCAAAAAATATTTTTGTAATTTTGGATTAAAAATTCAAACAATTGTTCAGACTAAGCACAGTCTAAGCGTCACTCTGGTACAAATGCTTACCCAAGTGCGTTTAGACTGTTTATGTACTTTTCCAATTTTGTGAAAACTATTAAAAATGTGAAAATGCCGCCAAGCTAAGTACAGTATAAGTAAAAATGTCGCACAGAATTAATTGCAAATGCGTTTAGACTGTGAACTTGCACTTTTTCAATTTTGTGTAAATTAGGCAACTATTTTTTTTTAAAATTGAATTCGAAATAAAATGACGATTGTTAATGTTCTGGAGATAAATTGATTCATGATTTACATTTGATTTGCTCAGATATAACAAGATGGCAGAAATAATGAAAGTTACAGTATTTGTAATAATATATTTGAAAACGTTTAAAATTTCTCGAATATTTCATTACGGTACGGGAAGTTCTAGCAATTTGTCTTAAGGCACGATGCCATACACCACTAGTTTCTTTATTTTTTTACCTGTGTTGAAGTTTTTCATCCTGACAAGCGACCCGACAAGCTCTGTGTTTCTCATCTAAAATAAATTACAAATCATAATTTTTGCAAATAATGAGAACGTTAATAATTTAAAAAAATACCAGTTGTAGGAGATATTTGCATCCCCAAACCAGACAAACGTTTGACCCGTTCCTTATATTTTGTACAAATGGCAGTAGCATATTGAAATGTTGACCAAACCCTAGTACACTCCTAAAACAAACATTTATTTTCAGTCATCTATTTATTGGCTAAGATTCATGTATTTATTATTACATTTATATTTTGATGGCACAATTGGATGTTACTCATTTTTGGTTTACTTTTGGAAGTAATAAGTCTAATTCCGCTACCACTTTCCATGCAATTGTAATGGCAGGAGCCACTTTGCTGCCAAGCCAAGCCACGTTTACCTAAAATACAAAAACAATAAAATTTGTTAGAAAATATTTGATGTATTTTTTGTTTTCAAGCGTACCTTTGTAGTTGCCTCGGGAATATATTTCAGGTTTATCCCACAGGTCGACGCGGTTGCTGAATCCTTGACAATATTCAGCAGATAGTTGGAATCTTGAATCTGAGTTGACTTTGCATTTAAATTCCTAAAAAATTAAAAAATTTACAACAAGTAGTGGCTACTTTTAGATTTATAAGATTATCCATTTTTATGGAAATTTAACAAAAATCGAAAAATTGAGAGTGACTGGTAAAATAATATTGCTCATTGATTCATGGTTGTTCATCCAATTTGGTCCCAAGTGTTTTTATTTTTTAAATAATGTGATTACAATTTTATGCTATCAAAGAGTTAATTTACCTCACAACGTCCAGAAATGCAGTAAAATCCGGAGGCACTTCCAGGTTTGCTAGACACTCCAGATCTGCAGGACGTACCATCGGGTAAAGACCAACCTCTACTTTTTCGGCCACCTCCTCGAGTAGCACACCAAACGGCACAGGCATCCACGGCTTAAAAAATATACATAAAAATAATTTCAAATATTAATAAAAATATTTCCAAATTATTTATTTATGATTACATACGGTTTCTATCTTGTATCAAAACACTGCGCCCTGTCAACTCAGAATCGACGTCTCGAGCCCTGGTGCAAATTTCGTCCGAAAATTCTTCGACGGTCATTCGATTTATGTCTTCGCACTATAAAATTTCAAATTCATTATTTAATTTGATAAAAGTTTAAAGTGTAGTGCAAAAACGATAAAAAAGGTACAGTACTCGTATTGGATTTTTACTTTTGGAATAGGGTTGCTTAAGTCGTACCACTGCCTAAGATAAATTTCAACTTAAACTGTCTCGGTTAAATTTCATAACACAGAAAGTGAAATGCAAACAATGATAAAAATTACAGCAGTGTTGATTGCATTGAATTCTTGCTTCAGGAAAAAGGTGCCTAAGTCGTACCCCAGATATATTTTGACTCACAATTATAGTTTACATCATTTGGTGTATGGTTGAACTAATTTTAATAAAATAAAATTAGTCGAATAAGCAAACGGTTGCAATTTAAAGGCTGGTCGACTTTGTGAACCAGGAATAATTAAAAAGTTAGCTTTTTGTGATGCTTTAACTCTTGCCAGTGATTGGCAAGACCATGATCCTAACATTTTTTTACAACAGTTTATTTATATTGTTTATATGACACCGTTTAAGAATATTTAAATCGAAAAAGTTGCTTAGATACTGTCAGTAGTTTCAAGTCGAACTTGTGTAAAATTTCTTACTCGTATCGAGTTAATAAAGGGCATTTTATGGATTTTTTTCGTGAAATGCGGAAAATAATGAGATGAATACAATATCGTAAAATTTTTGGTGAAAAATTCATGAATCCATCTTGTTTAATATCCCAAAGTTTTTGAAAAAAATGGAGAACTCATAGTGAAAAACTCACGAATCCATCTCGTTTTTTAGCACTCAGAGACTTAATAATTTTATTAGTACATTCATCACTTTTTGGGATTATTATTTTTATTAATAATAATTTTTGGCTTGGTAACTAACAATTGAAGAAAAGTTGATCCCAGGCCAGATTCTTGGTAATTAATGACTTGGTAATGACTAAAGAAAAGTTGATCTTATACTGAAATCTTTATATATTTTTAGTGACAGCTGTGACTAAGGCTATAGGTGGTACGACTAAGGCAACCATGCTCCTTGATTGTACCGATAGCATATTTTCGACTAACATAAAAGTAACAATGTTAATGAAAAAAATAATCAGATATTTCGATAAACTCCAGAAGCTTTCGTTACTTTTGTACTAAATATTACAGCATTATTTTCTTGGGGGATACGAATTAAGTGACCTTACCTAAAAAAAATATATTGACAATGAAATATTGTCAGTGTTACATAATAATTTCTAAAGATGAAATATTAATATATTATATTAACTATATTATTTATTACCTGTGGTGCGTTACATGTTAGATATTTTTTGTCATGACCCTTGCACGCCGGATCACTATTCTGAAATCTGTGAAAATTATACAGTTTTATATAAAAATACTTCATAGTTTTACTAGGCAATTTTAATTAAAAAAAAACAAATTTGTAAAATTTAAAAATAAATTGTTTTAATACATAAAATTTGAGTGTTTGCTAAATAAACCTAAAAAATTAGTGCTGTAACAATTCTTGTGATATTACACAAAAGTAGGTATTGTAAATTGCATAAAAATATAATATTACTATTATTAAAAGCTTTATTTTTACTTAAAAATTATTATTTATAAAACCTAAGCATATTTTGAACTAACATAAATATTTTAGTAAAAAAAAAACAGCAATTGTTTAGCATAAATGAAGATTCAATAGCATCAATAAATTATTCAAAATTAATTGTCAAGTTGGAAAACTCAAAGCTTTATTTTTCTTAAAAATTATTATTTATGAAATCTAAGCATATTTTGAACTAACATAAATATTTTAGCAAAAAAATAGCAATTGTTTAGCATAAATGAAGATTCAATAGCATCAATAGTGAAAAACTCATGAAACTAACAATTTTTTCCATTTTTCTTACCTGTGCAGGTTGCATTTCCTCATGCTAATTCGGACACCAGTGCTTCCTTCTTCTAAAGCCGAATTTTGATGGCCATCAGGGCCATCCAGACAAGCAGATGCACATTCTGAGAAAGGGCTCCAGGGCGTCCAGGCTGGCCCTTGGGTGTAGGATGACGACATTACGTCATCTGCCGAAACTGGAGGCGATCGGAGGACGCATTCTCCACCACGACACCACTTAGTAAAGGTCAGATTATAAATAAATAAATCGATAAATATATGTATATATATATATATATATATATATATATATATATATATATATATATATTACATTTCTTTTACCATATTAAATCCACATTGAGTTCCTTCTAACGCTGGATGTGACGTCCACGTATATTTTTCACGTCTGCAATGCAAATCTCGACAAATTTCTTCACTCGATTGCAACAAACTATGTGAACTGCCTGCTCCGTACTTCAACATACCTTCAAAAATTTTATCAAAATTTATCTTGCAATTCAATATAAAAACTAGTGGTGTATGGCATCGTGCCTTAAGGCAAATTGTTGGACCTTCCCGTACCGTAATGAAATATTCGAGAAATTTTAAACGTTTTCAAATATATCAATACAAATATTGTAACTTTCATTATTTTTGCTATCTTGTTATATCTGAGCAAATCAAATATAAATCGCAAATCAATTTATCTCCAGAACATTAACAATCGTCATTTCATTTCGAATTCAATTTAAAAAAAAATAGTTGCCTAATTTACACAAAATTGAAAAAGTGCTCCCGTATAGTCACAGTCTAAACGCATTTGCAAATAATTCTGTGCGACATTTTCACTTATACTGGGCTTATCTTGGCGGCATTTTCACGTTTTTCAATAGTTTTCACAAAATTGGAAAAGTGCTCCACATAAACAGTCTAAACGCACTTGGGTAAACATTTGTACCAGAGTGACTGTTAAGCTTAGACCGTGCTTAGCGTGGGTAATTTTTTGAATTTTGAATCCAAAATTACAAAAATATTTTTTGGAAAAAAAATTAGAAACAAAAATTTTTTTCCGAAAGCAATTATTTTGTTGAAACAATCAGAAAGCTCTTGGAATAATTCAAATCGGACGCTTAGTTTACTCAAAAACTGCCATTTTTTGCACATTTAGCTCTGTATCTTCGAAATGGCGGGACCTGTCTTTGCCAAAAACTAATCACCTCTTCTCCCAATCATTACAAATTGAATGTTTTTTAGATCATTCAAATCCGATACTCCGTTCTCTCAAAAACTCGATTTGTATTTTCTGCACTCTTTGCTCCGTATCTCCGTAACGGCTGGACCTGCCTTTGCTAAAAACTAATCAGCACATCTCCTTATCAATAGGGATCGAATGTTTTTTGAACCATTCAAATCGGTTGATCCGTGCGCCCGAAAACGTGAACGAAAAAATGCGGACATACAAAACACACACACACATCCATTTTTTCTGAGGTATGCCAAAATGTTCAGAAACCTTCAAAACGTCGAGAAATGCAAAAATTTTCATTTTCGATTATTGGCCCATCACTACAACTACCCTACGGGAAGTTAAAAAATTTTTCAGTCTACTTACATTGCTGGTCTGCGTTAAATCTTTCCGCCTGGCAAAGATCCTTCTGCCGAATGATCTAAGGGACCTGCTGAACTTCCATGATCTAGCAAACAGTGGGACTGGGTTGAACTAAAATTAATTGAAATTAATATTAATTGCATTTGGAAATTTTGTTTGTTCAAGTCTTACTCTAAAAATTTCTGCAAATATCGTTTGCTACACATGGACCAAGTGATTTTTCCACTACCCAACGTTGGTGACATTATGTAACTTGTGGGATCGCATTCGTTGTCTGCTAAGGGCCCATCGTGCCTCATCCCTAAACTATAAAAAAACACATTAATAAAATAATTTGTTGAGGAATAATTTGTAGTATTATTGTATACTTATGGCCAATTTCGTGAGCAACAACATAAACACTTTCAAAGTGTCTGCCTTCATTTACAGTACAACTGCTGGTTGTTGTGCACATTCCACCAACTGGTGCTAGCCCTAAAAAAAATTGAAAATTATGATTTGTTTTAATTTTTATGTGAATATAACAGCATTTTTTTTATCATTATCCTTTATCTTACCGACGACTTGATGGCTAAGTTTCCCAGCTTTGCTGACCACATACAAATCCAATCCGGTTAAAATAAGGGCATGGTCCCAGTGCAAAGGGTCGCTATCGGCTATCGGATTTTCCTGACGTTGCCAACCGCAAAAACTGCTCAAAAAATCATCAATATCTTGTGGACGTCGAAGTCCTGATGGATCTTCGTGCAAAATTTCTAATCGTTTTAGTAGAAAATTTACTGGGTGACCCAGGGAAGGATCGTGGTATAGTAATTGAACCTGGGGAAGAAAAATTTTGTAATAAAGGAAATTTTTGTTTGTTTTTATTTTTTGGTTTTGAGATTTTATAAAAATAATTCTTACCCCATTTATCATCGCCAGGACAAATCTCAGTAGTTCCCTTTCGGTATTTTTTGGATAATTTGCAGACATATGTTGGTACAACTCTCTGTCTATAAATACTGCTGTTTCAACATGCATTGCTGAAGATTTGATACTCCTTTTAGATCTTTTGCTAATTTTGTCAATAAATCTGTAAATTAGTAAATTATATCATTTCTACTTATTTATCTGATGAATCCATTACCAAAAATGATGGTAATTTATTACAATAATGGTATTTTTTTCTACTTACATTTTATCATCGTTTTCATCATGCACACACTGATGTTCCATATTTTTCCTATCAATTAATCTAATTTCACTATTATCGGCAGGATCGTTTGCATATTTCCTAAAATCCTTATTGCTAAAGTTTTCATTAGAACTATTACTAAAGTTATTATAATACTGATTTTTAGTCTCGATCAAAGATCTTTTTATTATTATATGAGGGGATGAACCGTCGTTTTCTTGAAAACGTTTTGGCAGTGGCTGGATGTAGTACAGTTCTTTGTTTGGCGAATAATATAATCCTTTCTGAAAAAAATAAGAATAAATAATATAATACTTTCTGAAAAAAATAAGAATAAATACACTATCATATTAATTGTAGCATAAATTAGCAATTGTTCTAATTAAAGAAATAATGCAATTGGTACATTGTCTTTGCACAACATAACTTGTACGTTCATAAAAAAATACGTATTTATATTCCTGATTACCTATTGTAAACATCTTTTGAGAATAAACATTGGACGTCTTTTGAAATATGAGAACAATAAAATATAATTAATGAGTTCATCGTATAATAAGTAATTTATGACATTTTCAACTTTTACTTTACAAGCGTATGTTTTTATAAAAGACTTGTTAGTAATGATACATTGCATAAAATTGCATATTGTTTTGGTTTAAAAACTGTAATTTTAGTAGAATTATATGTAATAGGAAAACTGAAACAATGAGAAGAAAATAAAATTTCTTATAAAAACTTATGTTCACATGGAGTATAAGAGCTTTGCTATGTTTTTCAAGTATTTATATTGCTTATATTTAGTTTTATAAACAAACAATTGACATGATCAATAAAATGTGTTTTCGAATATTTAGATAAAATTTTCAACTTTTTATCTAAAAGGGGTTCCTATAATTTCAAACTTCAATGAATTTTTGTAATTCCACCTTTAAACCATAGGTTCCCAAACTTGTTTGTTCCGTGGACTCCTTGCAATGATTTTTGTATTATTAGTACAAAATTGTATCTAGCATTAAAACAGATTTTACGTTTTCAAAAATGCATAATTCGATTTTAATGAAACTTGACACGCATTGTTACTATACTTTACCAAAAATGTTACCACAATTTAAAGTTGGAACATTCAATAGTTTCTATATAGTTTCAATACTAGTATTGAAACAGATTGTACGTTTTCAAAAATGCATAATTCGATTTTGATGAAACTTGACATACATTGCTAAATACTTTACTAAATTGACATTACTAAATTGACATACTTTACTAAATTTTTGACAAAAATTTAAAGTTGGAACATTCAATAGTTTTTGAGACATGCGAGAGGCTGGCTCAGCTCTCAATACTAGTATTGAAGCAGATTGTATGCTTTTAAAAATGCATCATTCGATTTTGATGAAACTTGACACACATTGTTACTACACTTTACTAAATATTTGACAAAAATTTAAAGTTGGAACATTCAATAGTTCAAAAGCGATACAACTCGCATTTTTAATTAATTTTGTCTCACATCTCACATATTCATTATAAGTATCAGGGTTTATAAGAAACCGTCATTTTAAAAACCAGGTTTTGGAATAGTGAATAGATTCTAGAAATTTACGAATTTTTACAAAAAATGGATTTACTCGCATATACTGTAATAGCAAAAAAAAAACACCAGGAAATTTTGGTCATTAACAGTTTCTTAATTGAAATTATTTGTTGTTTAGTTTATTAATATTTTTTAGTCTATTTCCAAAATTAGCTGAAATTGATAATACCATCTTGCTCATGACGAGTATAATCGAAAAATATGGGTCGATTTCACGAAATTGGCTTTTACTACTGAATTTAACTTTTTAGTTAATATAAGCATATATTACAAATATATTAAACTAAAAATTGCATAAAATTAAAGAAATTTTATACATGTGAATGTAATAAAATAAGAATAGTTATTGATGAAAAGAAATGATTATAAAGTACTGAATCTTAATTTTTATTAAGAGTATTTATGCATATTTCGGCAACTTCCTTTAAGGTAAAATGCTACGCTCAACTATTTATTTTATACATATACAGTCATAGCCTCAAAATATTTTGAACAAGACAACATATATTTTGTTTTCTTCAAACATTTCACTTCAAAAGCAAATGGTCAATCCCAGAATGGTATATTCGTCAATCTCAGCTAATTGGTTGAATATTATCAGTTACTACAAACCACTCCATGGTGCCTTAAGTAAAATGCCACTTACAATTAAAAATATTAGAATATTTTAGAATAGATTTTGTTTCTTTTTTAAAATTCAATTCAAATAGCAAATCGTCACTCTTTTATACCCATGACGTATATATTCGTCATGACGCATACTCATCACTACTCCGCGACGATTATATGCGTCAAATTTAGTGAACTTATTAAATATATATCAATTACCACTTACCACTTCATGTTGCCTTAAGACTTAAGGCTTATGTAAAATGCCACTTACAATTATTTTATACAATCATATTCTCAAAATATCTGACATTTTAGAATAGACTTAGATTTTTTTAAACTTCAATTCCGATAGCAAATGGTCACTGTTTTATACCCATGATGTGTATACTCGTCATGACGCATATACCCGTCATTCATCCGTGACGAGTATGTTCATCAATCACTATTTATAAATTGCAAAAATTCCTAATTGGTAAAAATGCATAGAATTGAAAATAGAAGATAGGAATGCATCTCTGTGCATATAATCAACACATGGGTTTTGTGTACTGATTTATTTCCCAAGAAGCATCAACCCAAATGTATTACACTCGACATTGTACCACATATTGATTGAAATGTAGAAATTTATCGATTCAAAAAAAAGGAGTATGTTTGTCAATCTCAGTTAATTGGTAAAATATTTCAATTGCCACTTACCACTCCATGTTCGCCTTCGCAAATAGCCAAGGCGGCATTGTCCGATCTGTAATAACACCCGTCGACGTCCGCCAACCAGGCATCATGGGCAGTATGTTCCGTTCTGTTGCCCCATCTCTGCACGTACATGAAATGGGGGTCTAATAAGGGCGGCGAAGGGCCAGCGCGTACCGACAGGCGACCCGAGGGTAGAGGTGACCCTGGGGCTCCGAGGGTAGAGATGCTCTGAGGGCCTGCATCGGTTTCGTCTAGGCGGAGACTGCGTTTTTCGCGACTTCCGTGGTGGGACAGTTTTATGTAGGATACTGTGTAGTCCTTTGGAACTAGAAAAGATAGGACAATAATTAACTAGCTGTAAGTGAAATTCTGTCTTAAGGCAATTAGAGCATCGTGCCTTAAGGCAAATTGCTGAAACTTCCCGTACCAAAAATTATTATTTTTTTAAAACGATTAACATTTTTGAAAAAATTTACTTTGAAAAAAATAGATTTTTGAGAAACTATAAATTTGACGTAAAATTACTTTTTTTTTTTAAATAATTTTTTTTTCTGAAAACATAAAATAATTAAAAAAAAATTTTCTTTATTTTGGCATAGTTTGGAAATTCTGAACTTTTTTTTCAAAGCAATCGTACTGCTTGAACTGCATAGAGACGAAATGTCAAAGCGCGTAAGTGCTGCGCCGCCGTCTAACGCGTAAGCATTGGTACGGAACCCATAAAATGTAAAAAAAATTCATACTTATTGTAAAAATCTCTATAAAATATCTGATAATTGACGTGCATATGTCTAATGATCATTTTTGACCGCCAACTGGCATTTTTTTTTACTTTTCTCGTTAAATCTCCGAAACCGCTAGACCTGCCTTTATGAAAATTTGATCAATTCTTCATCTTGTCAATACAAGTAAAATGTTTTTTGAAATATTCAAATCGGACGCTCCGTTCTCTTAAAAACTGAGGTACCATTTTGGGCACTTTTTGCCCCATATCTTCGGAACGGCTAGACCTGCCTCCGCCAAAAACTAATCAGCATGTCCCCTTATCAATACAAATCGAATGTTTTTTGAATTATTTAAATCGGTTGATCCGTGTTCCCGAAATCGTCGACGAAAATTTGTATCCGCACACACACACGCACACACACACACATACACATACATCCATTTTTTATAAGGTATGCCAAAATATTCAGAAACTTTTGAAACGTAAAGATATATAAAAATTTTCATTTTTGATTTTTTTGCGATTACTAAACTTGCCCTACGGGGTCTCAAAAATCGAGTTTTTGAGAGAACGGATTATCGGATTTGAATGATCTAAAAAACATTCAATTTGTAATGATTGAGAGAAAAGGTGATTAGTTTTTGGCAAAGACAGGTCCCGCCATTTCGAAAATACAGAGCTAAATGTGCAAAAGATGGCAGATTTTGAGTGAACTAAGCGTCCGATTTGAATGATTTAAAAAACTTTCTGCTTGTATTGACAAAACAATTGCTTTTGAGGATAAAAAATTATTACATCTTTTTTTATTTTCCATAAAATATTTTTGTAATTTTGGATTAAAAATTTAAAAAATTACCCAGGCTAACCATAGTCTAAGCGCCACTCTGGTACAAATGTTTACCCAAGTGCGTTCAGACTGTTTATGTACTGCACTTTTCCAATTTTGTGAAAGCTATTGAAAAATATGAAAATGCCTCCAAGCTAAGCACAGTATAAGTGAAAATGTCGCACAGAATTATTTGCAAATGCGTTTAGACTGTGACTATACGGAAGCACTTTTTCATTTTTGTGTAAATTAGGCAACTATTTTTTTGAAATTGAATTCGAAATGAAATGACGATTGTTAATGTTCTGGAGATAAATTGATTTATGATTAACATTTGATTTGCTCAGATATAACAAGATAGCCAAAATATGGAAGGTACAGTATCAGTATTTGTAATAATATATTTGAAAACGTTTAAAATTTCTCGAATATTTCA